ACCCCGTCTCTACTATAAATAGAAAGAAATTAATTGGCCAACTAATATATATAAAAAAAATTGCTGGGCATGATGGCGCATGCCTGTAGTCCCAGCTACTCAGGAGGCTGAGGCAGCAGGATAGCTTGAGCCCAGGAGTTTGAGGTAGCTCTGAGCTAGGCTGATGCCATGGCACTCACTCTAGCCTGGGCAACAAAGCAGCACTCTGTCTCAAAAAAAAAAAAAAAAAAAAAAGTTTTAACAAGAGAAAGTCCTTACCCTTTTGGAGGTGAATGCATTTGGCCTGTTTGGTTTGAGGATGTTTTCAAAACTCACCAAATATATGTACTATGTTTTCTACCTCCACATAACAAAATCCCCTGATTTCCTTCAATAGCCCCCCCAAAACAACTATCCATTTTATTTTAATCTAACTGGCACTGGGTGTACTATATAAATAACCCATATAGGGCTCTCTCTTGCCATCTCTTGGTATCCAGTCTCTTGTTCTCTAGTATCTTGTGCTTTCACACTATAATTAAAACCTGAGAATAACCATAATGTCTATATCACAGTTCTCCGGATTATTACAAGATGCTGGGCATGGTGGTTTACGCCTGTAATCCTAACACTTAGGAAGACCAAGGCAGAAGGATTGCTTAAGGCCATGTGGTTGAGATCAGCGTGAGCAAGAGTGAGACCCTGTCTCCACAAAAAAAATAGAAAAATTAGCTGGGTGTGGTGGTACATACCTGAAGTCCCAGCTACTTGGGAGGCTAAGGCAGGAGGATCGCTTGAGGCTGCAGTGAGCTATGATGACACCACTGCACTCCAGCATGGGCCACAGAGCAAGACCCTGTCTCAAAAAAAAAAAAAAAGAAAAAGAAAAAAAGAAATGATGTTGATGTGTATTCATTTGTGAAGTATGTCACATATCCTCTTACTATTTTTTACCATTAGAATACCAAAGTTTTTTTTTTTTAATGAATTAAAGCAAGCAATTCCAGATTATTTCTGCCTTAATCTCACTCTTGCTCAGCTTGCATCCAGTATGCTTTCTCATCCAATGGAAGAGAAAGGGCTGGAGTCAGTGTCACTGCTATTGTAACCCTGCGTATGCTGCTTGGAAGATACGAGGCATCGAACGTCACTGGTCACTTGTTTCACAGTGAGGAAACGATCGAGAACTACGGCTCCAGACCATCAAACCGAGGCATGGGTGACTGCCATCTCAGGCGAGCGTCACCATCTGAACAACAACTACTTTGTAACCAGGAATCTATAGTTAACCCCTTCCCTGCCTTGAGAGACAAAAGAAACCGGGAGTGAACCACAGAGTACTAAACCGAGTGTTCAAGAACATGTGATCTGCTGCAACAACAAGGGCCTGTCACAGAGGCACACACAGGTTCCGACGGGTCTTTGTCACTGAACATGGCCTTACTCCTGTCCTTGGGTTTCTGTACTGCTGTGAAAGAAAAGCCAGCCCTAGCAGAGCTGGTTTTCTGGATGCACAGAGCAATTAGCATCGTCTGACGGGTGTGTTCATGTGAGAGGAGGGACTGGGAAAGGCAGTGGAGGTAATGGTGAAGATGGAGAATTGATTGCCAGAAGCCATTGATGAGCTTCCTTGGTTCAATGGAGGAGCCAAAATAGTAGTCGAATAACTTCAGAAGGGCATCTCTCAGGTAACTTTCTGTGGTGTGAAATGGAGGCAACAATATTTGGCAAATGCTCATTTGAGAAAAGATGGAACATTCTATCAAACTGGGAATATTTTGTGGATGACGGCGTTGGCCCATGTTCCTTTCTAGAGTGATGGGGCCGTGAAAGAGGCCAAGTTCCTTTCTAGAGTGATGATGAGGAGAGAGTCCGCCCCTTTCTGCCAGTGCTGATTTATTCTGCGCTGATGAGGCCATTCTTCGAATTCCCCGAAAGTTCTCCAGATCAGAGAACCCAATTTTAGAAGAGTTGAAAGGAGGGGAGGGAATCATGAGAATACAAAGGAGAAAGGGCTAAGAATTTAAGACAGATTCTTTCATAGGAGTTTCACACTCATTCCATTCACTTGTTTGGTGATTTCACAGGTGCCGGCTCCAGTGTAGTTTACAGTCAGCTTACAGGAGCTGGAGTGGTGCAGGGGAGAGGGGAGGTGGACAACAAAAGGAAACAAACAAGCCAAGAAACATGTAATAACAAAATGAGAAAGGGGTAGGAAAGAAGGGGTGCAAGAGAATGACCATGAGGGAAGACCAAGGACCCTCTTAGAAAAGGGGGTTCAGGCACACCTCATGGTGATCATGGCCTATCAACTCTCTGCTCTTCTGCTCCCCTCTTCCACTTTGAAGGACCTTTCTGATTACATCGAGCCTGGCCAGGTAGTCCAGGATAGTCTCCTTATTTTAAGGTCAGCTGACTAGCATCCTTCATTCCATTTGCAGCGTCATTTCCCATGGGCCATGTAACCTAGCGGAGTCACAGTTTCTGGGGATTAGTGCAGGGACATCTTTGGAGGGCCAATATTCAGTCTACCACCACAACAATTAAAAATTAAAGTTAGGAAAGAGCCAAAAGCTCTTCGTCCCTTCTGGAGTTCTTTTCTGCTCACGTTTGGTGAGTCTTGTCTTCTCTTTTGTTTTATGTAACTAAATTTCTCACAAGAGCTAAATATGTATCGATAGCATCTAAACTTTTAATATATAATAATTGTAGATTTCTGTGATCTTGGACAAGAGACAAGGCACTTACCCTGAGTTTCCTTATCTATAACATGACAGAACTGAGGTTGATAGTCTCTCAGAACTCCCCCAGTGTTCCTAATCTGATGTTTAAAGAAAACCACATCTTTGTAGATGATATTCCAAAGTGTGATGTCTCAATGACACTGGGCATGTCCGCTGAGCTCCCCACAGCCACAGCATCCTTGTTGATAGCGTCCTGGTTAAGTCACTATTATATTTCATATATGCTGCCAGCACTGATGAGGTCTTTTCACCTGCATATCAACCCAGGTATCTTGTGAATACAGAGAACATTAGAGTAAACCTGACTTTTAAAAAAACTGACTCCCAACTTCTGTTCTGCTGATGATAATGTACATTACATTGTGTGTTGTCTAGAATGATCTGTTGCTTGTCACAGAATTTGTTGTTGTTGTTTGTGCTTTTAAAGTGCACATACCTTGTAACATTAAAAACCTTATGTTTATACAGCACTTTACAGTTTACAAAATGTTTTTGTATCTGTTACTTCATATGATCATCTATAACAATGTTTTGAGGTTAACATGTACTTCTTTAAAATGGGTCCATTTGTAGGGTTAACTGAATATCCAGTTCTTCATAATTCGATGTAGACATTTTACATGCATCCTTGATCAGTGGTAACAGAGGTACCAAGTAATTTGTTGGAAAACTGACCTCAAGCAGTTGAATGAAACACAGACTTATTCACTCACATGCTGCATATACGGCAACAAAGTGATCAGACATCTTTTATATTTTAAATTGGACATCATCTTAATGAGACGTCTTATACTGCCTTTTATCTTTACTTTTGAAAGGAAACGCATTCATGGGATGCTCTCAGGCACTTTTCTTAATCATATTTTATTCTTTAGTCATTTCCCCTTCCTTTTTATAGTCTTGCTATATAAGTTACTCACAATACATCTTTCTAAACATTTATCTGACTATAGGTAGAATTATACATATGCAGAATCTGAAGAGTTACAATATCGCAATCACACATCAAGACAGCATTGGAATCGTAACTGTCTATATTAGCTTTTATATGTGGAATGGTTCTCTAAATTATTTGAGAGATTGATAATATTTCAAAAATGACTCTAACAGCCCATTTGTCCTTCTACCTCTTTAATTCTTAAGTCCATATGCATAAAGCAAAAGTGAGACTTTTAGATGAATTACAAACTCATTTAATTTCCAGACGTTGTCTAGTGTTTAAACACTGACATCAAAGCAAAGAACTAATTATCAGGGTTCATTTGGTCTGAAGCCCTGTTGCCTGAATTGCTATAGTTTTCCTTATGCTGAAAGGAAATCTGTGTCACATCTTGAAGACGTAGTATGTAAAATCACTTTATCTATAGCAGTTTAACTTGAAACATGTGTTTGGGCTCACTAACCACAAGGAGGCATTGAAGCATCTCTTCAAAATGTGGAAAGCAATTTTATAAAGAAAAAAAAGTTGCACCCACAGTTGCTGAATTTCATGTAAGCAATTACACCTGCTTGTGAGTATGCATGCCTTTTAAGTTTGTGTTTTGATCCACATTTTAGAAAGACCTGAAATATCAGCAGAAAGTGTTGCTACTGTTGTTTGTTTTTTGTTTTTTTTTTTGGAAGGTTTTTGGACAACAGTAATCTATATATGTTTTCCTTCTGCTCTGTTTCCAGTGGGAAGGAAGGCAAACTGCAGGACTTTTATTAGTACTGACAAAGTAACTGCATTAACGTTTCTTGCCGTTTGAAGGTTAAAAGTTCTTTTTGACTGTGAGCAGAAGCCTATTTCTTCAGTATTAGAATTATTTAAATACATGCTCCTGACAGCAAGAGGGTTTATCTGAAATCTGTGTGTCAATTTAGAATGATTGTGGGACACATCCTCAAGATGTCACATAGGAAGCACAAGTTAAAAAGCCAAAACAATTTTTTTAACCTGAGCATAATTTTCTTACATGTCATTTCAAATATCCATGTTAAATGTCAGAAAATTTCTCCACGTTTTTGTAACCTTCATTCTCATCTGCTTTGTTGGTATTGAAAAATATGAACGTATCTGTTGCAGAATATGCTGCTTAGCGTATCTTCCAGAATAACGCTTAATTAATTCCCCTGAGAGGCAAGGACCTCATTCTAAGGAATTGGGTTGTTTCTGCAAGACGCTTCAGAGAAAATTTTTTCCTGGAAATGTAGACTGTGACCTTTTGAAGTTCTCATGTGCCATATTGCTATATTGACTTGCTCTTTCTGGGATTTGACGCCTTGTTTGCCTTCTAGGATATTCCCAGCCTGTGCGAGAACATATTGCCGATTTCAACACACTGCAGAACATGCAGCTGGGGAGACTGTGTGACATCTTAGGTACAGTAAATAGTTTCACAAAAATGACTCTTTGGAATGTTTACCAGTGGATGTTGATAAAATGTTTAATTTTTTGCTTTTTTTTCTCCTCTACAAGAGCTCAGCTTTCTAATCTAACTTGCCTGCCAATCAAATGTTTTATTTTAAAAAACAGATTTATAGTGAAGTCAACTTGAATAAAAAATGACATTTTAACCAATAGACTCAGTACACTTAGGCAGTTTTTAAAATTGTCATTGCTGCAGGTTTAGATAAGAATTTCTCTCTTACAGACCGAAATCATCTTCATTTACCAATCTTACAGTGAGAGCGAGGTGAAAATTTTATATTTGTGTCAGTATTGTCTATTAAATTATCTGGGGAATGAGTGGAAGGTGGTATCAGAAATGAAACATTGTGTTAAGAATAAGAAGGAAATTAATATAGATTTTTTTTAAAGAAGATTTTATTTAAATGTAGAGCATCTTATTAGACAATACAAAGTACCTAATGGAGGGAATTTTTACAAATACAGAGCTTGATTGAGTGATAGATATATCTTTGTAAAAGCCAAGTTCTGATACTGGTTTGGTCAGTTTTTAATCAGACGCCAATCTGCAGCCAGGAGAGAAAGATGCCTGAATGTGATGGCTTTGGGTAACACTGCCGAAGGCCAGATTCAGATTAGGTTCAAAGAATATAGGTTGCAAAGATTAAGTAACAACATTGAATCAGTGAGGTACTGGCCCAAAATTCAGGATTAAACAAAAATTAGATTCTTGTTAGTTATCAAATGAGAACTTCTTTGTTTTGTTAAAATATAATTGCTTTGGCCCTTATTTAAGCAAAACAAGGAAGGATTTTAAATTATCAATGACCAACTTAGCTGGCTCCCTGGAATGACATACTTTACATGATTCATATATATTTCAGCATCATTACTATTTTATAAATGCCATTTGGTAACAAAAATGCATCAGTACTAGAAATTTACCGTGTCCTAAAATAATAATCGTATAATTGCTTTAATCTATTATCTAGGCACTGATATTGTTTTTCAGCATTACAAAAAAATTTTTAATGACTGGAGATTGATTTGTTAGTGCTAAGCTATTTCAGCTAAAAACCTGACTGAATGGAAACCACTGAAGTGCAGCAGAGGGCAGACTTTGCTCTAATTTATTTGAATTAATTTCTTCTTCAGCTTTTTATATACCCTTCTATATATAGTACAAACCATCACCAAAGAATTTCTTTACAAAAGATTCTCATTATTAGAAAAGACTTGAAAGTATTAGGCTTCTATTTTAAACAATTCAATAATTCAGTCTGTGTCCACCTGCAATGGAAAATTTTGCTAACATGAACGTTTCTGAGAAATTATGAACCAAATGCTTTTTCTTGGTACACTATCTTCATGATATAGTGATGCAATCATAAAACCTCTTCAAGAGGAGTAATGAAAGTTTAGAAATAGTAGTTAGATGAAAGAAAAAGTACTTTCTTATGAAATAAAAAAATGAAAAACCTAGACAAATTAGTAATAATTTTATGGAAAAATAAATATCCTTTTTTGATTGCATTGAGTGATAGTAAATCTCTGATTTTTGTCCTTATTCAGGGGAAACAAAGATAATCCAATCATGCTGGTAAGACTTGTCCTGAGATATTGGCTGTGAAGCCACGGTTGTCAAGTGGAGGCCCCAGTGGCTTAACTCCCAGATGAGTTAACCAAGAGAGTGGCTGGTTTTGACTATTGACTAGCAATCAAAACAACTTTCACCTTCATATCAATTCCTTTCCAAAATTACCCGTCAATGAATTTTGAACATGTGTAGATTCATGGTGAAGCTACACTAATACTGGATATTAGAGTTAGTGGTATGTATTCCTTTGCCAGAAATGAACAGGAAAGGTGAAGCCAGCAATGTGATTTGTTATTGTTTGTAACCTAGAAATTTCTTCCCAAGAAAAAGTTTATTTTTCTTCCACTACAGAGTCTGTAAGTTTTTTTGTTGTTGTTTGTTTTTGTGCCCCCTATTCTTTTATACTGAAGGAAAAAACCACTAGTTTGGTTTTAAAACCACTACTGTAGTTAGGTAAGACAATAGAGTCTTCTTTAAAACAAGACTTGGGGTAACTATTATAATTCGATCATTTAGCAATTGGTTGCAAGTGATTTAATTACTTTCTCCTGAGTTAATTTATTTTGAGGCTTATGTGGCAATTTCACAATCAAATGGGAGCCACTTAAATATTCACATGTATGGAGCACCTACTCTAAGCTTAGCACTGAGCTAGTTTAGAAAACATCACCACCCATAGAGCTGAGAAGGAGAAGATTTCTCCTGCATGCTGTAGGTCTAAGTGTGTTCCCCTTTCTGAATCTCTCCATTTCTCACATCCCTTTGGTCAGGCCACAAGTCTTTACTCAGCGGCTCCTAGTACTCCACATAGTATCAGAGCTTTGGGGAATATAGGAAAGACTGTAAATATTGCCTTTAAGGAGCTTAGCAAGACAAGACTGATAGATTTGAAACGACAGGATGGAACAACAGAGCTCACTACCCCCTTGTGTTACATCTCGAGGCGCTGAGCAAAAGGAGCACAAGCGTGGGGGCCAGGGCAGGAAATCACCGTTGGCTGCCCAGTCAGGGTGGGCCACGGAGCAGATTCATGCACCTGTGCCATTCCTTGAGCACTTACTATCTGCAAGGTGCTGCACTGGGTACAGCTGCAAGGTGCTGTACTGGGTACTTTCTTCTATATTCTTTCTGTTTAATACTAAGAAGTCTATGCCCCAAATGGTTTTATTCCCTGTGTTATAGATGAAGAAACCAATGCTTAGTAAGGTTAAACGATATGCTCGGGCCCTAGGCAGCTGAACTACAATCTAATCAGTCTATGCTCTGTGTACCCTGCCAAACTGAACAGAGGAATCTTAAAATCCTCTTTTGGCCCTACCTGTCCAAGAAAACGTTCCTCGGAGCTTCCTTAAGTACTGGCCTGCATTCTTCATTGTGCCCACAGCCATTGCTGTGTTCCCCTGTGTCTAGCGAATGCTTTGTCCCTACAGATCGGTCAACTATTTTGTGAATGAATGAATGAATGAATGAATGAATGAATGAATGACTTTACTGGCAGCTGATTTCCCATTCCTACTCCCTAAAATATTGTGCAGCACAGAGTGGTTAATCTCATCTCACTATTCCATTTGGATCCAATACTTAATTAGAATTTCTTTCTATATACATATAAGATGCACATCTTAAGAAGGAGAACAGTTAAGAAAGTGTTTCCTTTAAACCAAGAATCACTAGATGAACTATTTAAGTAATCTACTCCTCTTTGGGAATGGAGCAGAGGACAGGTTGGTTTCCTGACATAATCATTGCTATGGTTATAATCAGACCATTTTTTTGGACAGGACAGTCCCTGAATTGGCCTAGTCAAGTCCAGACAGAAAATGAAATTGCAATTTCATCAGCTTTCTAAAGTTAATAGCTCTGTTTTATAATTTACTGAAGTTAATGGGATAAATGTTTAAAGCAGTATGCAATTCCCAATGATGTTAATGGGAGTTGTGTGGCTAAATCCCTATGTATTATTTGAAAGTCCATTTCAGTGGTACCTCACAGCCCCCCTTCTGAAGGAATCGCTGCAACTATTTTGTTAGTGATGGTGTGATTTATCTTTTCTTTAGGGAAATGCTAAAGACTAAAAAGGTCAGTTTGATTGCAAAAATTAAGGTTGTACAAACAAAACCAATCTAAATTAACTTCAATGTGGCTTTTGGATCTGCTCTTTATTTTAAACTGCACAACATCAATCAGATGCCAGAGTTCATAATGTCATTTACCTTTATACCAGTAATTAACATTGTGCCTGTTGTTTTTAGATGCCAATGTGAACGTCATCTACATCTGCTCCCATTATATGAATGACGAGTTAATGCTGTATTACAGTAAAATCCTAAGTCTACACGGAGCTGTCAAATCAGGGAACCCTGGGGACAGAAGTGACCTGAAGCACAGGTTCAAAATTATCACCCCTGAAGCTGTAAACATCTTCCCTGTGAGTTTGTCTTCTAATTACTATGGCTTCAGGGATGCAGTAAAATTAAATTGGAAATTTTATAACTTGCAACGCTCTGGTACACATCAGTGAAATATTATTGCAAGTTTTAACAGCTTTACTGATTAGACTACTAGTTGGACTGTAGGAAATAAATATCCCAGTTTAACTTCCAGACTTAGTTGAGCTACCCCTGCCCAGTTTCTCTGTAACTGAAGCCTAATTGCAGTTATTGGGTGGCACCATCAAGTAGGTGAATTTATAACAGGTACCATTCTTTTTTCTTAATTTTGTATGGAGGACATCAAGGCAGGGAAAGGCCGGGCCTGTCCACAGTCACAGAGCTAGTTAGGGACAGAGTCTAAACAAGGCCCCTGTTTTCTGATTTCTACCCAGGTATTCCTTGTTACTCCATGGTAGTTTTTCCTTAGGGGAATTTTGCCTGATTTACTATTTCAGATGGTTCATAATGAACAATGTTCAGTTTTTATTTAAATGTGTACTGACTTCTAGTGAGTGGAATGAGTTCTCAGTGGAATCCCATTCCTAGACAAGAGCCTTTATGAAATTCATGGAACCATGAGGGCAGCATTCTAGAATATGGCAGTATAAAAGATGGCTTGAAATGAATATTTCTATATTTTAATAAGGATTTAAACTTTCCATGTTAAACAACCAACATTTTAATCCCTAATGGACTGTGCAATTTTTAGGAAAAAAAATTTTGTATAATTAAAGACTCTGAATTTGCTGATAAAGATAGCTCTCTCTCCATTTACAATTGAGATGTACCAAAGTCAAGTCTCTATCTATCACAAGAGAAACTGATTGCATACTTTACACAGGAAGCATCTATGTGTTGGTTTACTACCCATTAACACTTTAGATATACCATGATTTATCATAAAGTGGGGAGAAAGGAGATGGGACATAAGAAAAGGCCTGCCAGGGCTGGGGAGGGCTACTATGACATTTCTAGTCTGCTGGTATACTCAGTGAATTGTCATCAGGGTTTATTCTCTTCTATAAAGATGAGGATTTTATTTTTTCTTAACTGGGCACCTCAATATTACTCCAAAGGCCCTTTGCTGAGCTGTTTCTTTGGCACCATTGGCTGTGAAAGACAAAGGCAAGGCCATGGACTGGGGAAGCAAGAGAAAGGACAGGTGACAAATCATCACCACTTACTTATATTCGTAGGAACCCTCCAATATCCTCCACCAATGCAAAATTTTCTTTGGTGCTTCCTAACTATTCCTTGGCCTCAATGGCATAGTTACTGTGGACATTAGGAAGCAAGGAAGAGAAAGAACTATAATTAGTGTTTAGTTCCTGATTTTCTCCAGTTAAACACTTGAGCTAATACCTGCTAGCTGCTAGTAAGGAGTTTCTGCACATCTGAAATGCTCATTTACATTGACGATGTATAGAATGGGGAAGGGGCACTAGATTTAGGAGAAGGAAAGTAAGTAACTAACATTTACCAAGTGCTTAACATGCATTTTCTCATTTGAGCCTCAGAACAATGCAACAAGGCAGAAATTATCAATCTCCCTTTACGGATGAGGAAACCAAGACTCATTCTCTACTCCAAGGTTACTAGTAGGACCAGAGTGTGAACCAAAGTTAGTCTACCCCAGTCTATCATGAATTGGAATGACTGCTTTGCTCCTGGGTGACCTTGTGGCCTTGGGCAAGCCCCTTTACATCTCTGGTCATCTGCTCTTCATCTATAAAATGAGGTGATAGATTAGATAATTTCAAAGTCTTCTCCAACTCTATAATCCTATATTGCCTGAGAAATTTAAATTTACCCTTGCCAGTGCACTCCTCAACTTCCAAGCAGGAGATTGGCAGTTAACATTCACCGATGCACCGACTTATAGTCATAGTAGGTTTGCATCTTTTGGAGTAAAAACAAGTAGGCAAGGTTTTAAGTACTTAATACTTCTCATAGTTTAAATTATTTGAGTAATCAATCACTCGTAGGCAATCAACTTTTTAAAATTCAAAAATTAAATTCTCACTTTCAAGTCAGTTCCTGCTCATGTTTAGCCATTGCTTTATTTCTTTTTAATGGATTTGAGAGATTGTATCAGTGCTGATTTTCATTTAAATGAGTGGCTTTAAGGAGATTTTTTTTAAAGCATGCCAAAAATCTGTTTGTACATTTCTCTAAGTTACTCTACGTTCCTTGAGTTTGTAATGGTAAAATGTATGCTTATAAAAGTCATAATGTCTATTTTTGGACACTTTAATGTTTACAAAGATATCCTAAACAACTACCTTTGTCTCAGGTCAAAAAAAAAAATCAGTGTTGATAAATTAAATGTAGCCTTAATGCAATGGAAGTAGGAACATTTTAGATTTTTTGTTATCTGTGTTAATCCACTGCCTGGATTTGATGGTACTGATTTGCTCCAAATGGTCCTACAAGATGTGTAGTCAGTAATGTGTCCTCGCCCTCACTCACTCACATTTGAATCTATATTGAACTCATATTGAACACAATGCTATGGTACTGTCTTACCTGAAGAATAAGGCATGCCCATAGTTGACTATAATATGGGTCTAGGTTAAAAAACAATACACACACACACACACACAGATTGAGGTAGAGTATTTGCCAGTAGAAATAAGCAAACCTAGAGGAGACAGAAATCCATCCTGGCAGGAAAAGTGCTCAGAACTTTAAAGTTAAGTTCTATTGCTGCATCTGTCATCCCCTCTTCACATCTCATAAACCCACCAGAACTTCACTACCGCTCTACAAATAGGGGAAATTTTGGCAGCCATGGCGTGCCAACTGTTTTAGCTGGGTTTGGATCCTGCCTCAGCTGTTTACTAGCTGTGTGACTCTGGGCAAATCACTTGCGCCTCCATATCCTCATCTCCAGAATAGAGACTGTTAATTGATACAGTGTTGTGTGGCTCCAATGAGAGAGCACATGTCAAAGGCTTTGCCCTTGTGAACTTGCCATGAGAGGGTTGCCGCCTTGGGATGCTCTTCTACGTGTCCTGAAAAGCCCAGCGTGGGCATCATAAGTCACCAGTTCTCCAGGACAGTTAAATATTTTTTTTTATGTTTCCTCATTGGAATAATTTATAGGAAAAGGAAAAGAGTGAAATAAAGAAGAGGGAAAGGCAGTGACCAACCAGATGGGAAACACACACTCACCAGGTGCTACCACTAGGCCTTGTCAAATGTAGGAAACATTGTGTTTCCTACAACTGCATTCTGAGAAGGATGTTTTAAAAATGGATTTAAACTTACGGTACAAAATGCATATTGCATAGATCTAAGGAGCTTAGAATAGAATACCTAATCTGGAAGAAGGGCCCAGTAGGGTAAATCATATAAATCTTCTCAGAGAAGCTCTGTTTTTGGCGTTTTATTGTCATGGTAAAATACATATGATATAAAATTTACCATTTTTAAGTGTACAGTTCATTGGCATTGTGTTATACATCCACATTATTGTACAACTATCACCACTATCCGTTTCCAGAATGTTTCATCATCCCAAGAAGAAACTCTGTACCCATTAAGCAATAAGTCCAGAAGAGCTCTGGTTTTAAAAGGAAAGTTATTTCAGAGCTATAAGGACCCTGCAGAGTTTTCTAATCTGACCCCTCATTTGAATATGGGGAACTGAGACTCAGAAAGGTCAAGTTTTCTAAGTCACCTACCAAGTTATAAATACAGTCAGGAAATCCAGGGGCTGCCCCAGTCCAATTCTCTTTCTTTCATGCTCAAAAGGCACCATAATCTCCAACCGTTTGCGAACAGATGCGTCTAACATTCCTTGAAACAGTTACTCAGCATTTCTCCACATTTTTATGCTGAATTGAGTAATTTTTCACTAAAATTGGGGGAGTAGGTGCTAGCTTACAAAATCCCTTGAACTCCCTTATGACTCAGGCACTTTTATCTTAAATGACTTGCATGACATTTTAGGGATTTTACTTTAAAAAGAGGATTTTTCTCTGTAACAATAATCACTACCATTTATTGAGTATCAACACAAAGCCATGCATCATGCTAAGTATTTTACGTTCAAAATCTTATTTTAAAAGTCTTAGAGCAACCCAGCAAAATGGATATTTTGATTCCCATTTAACAGATGGAGAAACTTAGGCTGAGGGAGTCTAAGTCACCTGCCCAAATTCATGTGCCTTATAAATGATAAAGCTGGATTCAAAACCAGATCTATCTGACTCCAAAGTCCCAGCACTTTCCTATATGCCATGCTGCCCTCTTCTCTAGAAGAAGCAAAACAGTCTTGGGTTCTTGGGTTCTATCCCTGGGTGCTGTCTTTCTCATGCCAATCTTCACCTGATAAAATTCTACCCATTCTTCAGAGTTCGCCTCAACCCCAACCTCATTCAGAATAACAATACTAGCTAACATTCAGCAAGTGCTTTTTGTGTGCAAAGCACTATTATAAGTGCATTATCTCATTTAATCCTCACAACATCCCTCTGAGATGAATGCTTTTATTATACCCATTTTACAGATGAGGAAACTGAAGTGCAAAGAGAATGCATAATTTGCCTTTTCAGCCCTCTCCATCGGTGTGTGCCCTCTGCCTCTCTCTCCGTGCCTCTGAGGCACTCTGCATCTCCTCATGGCCCTTACCCGCCTGGTGTCAGTTATGTTCTAACTGTTCTTGTTTGTGTCCCCACTCCTTGAAGGCAGAAACATGCTTGTTTTTAGTTTGGGTGTGTGCTGCCCATCTGGCTCTGTCCTCTGCCCCAGTGGACATGCCAGAATTATCTATTAACTGAATGAGACCGTCACGTATATCGCTACGCTGCGTCTAATTAGTCAAAAACCAAATTTTAAAAGTTTTCATTGGAAAATGAATGTGAGTCTAACTGACATTTTCAAATATTTTTTATTTGTGACTCCTTCCCAGAGCTGTTGGCTAGAACCGTGCCAATCACCATAAAAGAGCATATTCTCTGAAACAGGCTGTGGTGGAATTTTGGAGAGAAGGTGTCAAGTGCTTTTTTCCTACTGAAGCACTTAAAAAAGTTGCCAGATTAGGACTCTGTATAGTGAAGAATACTGTGGGGCTTTTTTCTTCATTTTTTGTATTGATTTTCCAGACACTTTAGTGTTAAACCATGCCAGAAGTGTTGCAGAGATGAATCACTATTATCCAAAGGCCGCCAGCCTCTTTTCCTTCTGACAGAAGGATAATTCCACGTGGATCAAATAAATACAGATGTGTTGTAATTAGTTCTATTCCCAGAGAGCCTATTTCCCACACACTAAAGATGTGAGCGATTATGGAACCTCACCCCAACAGCTTTTATCAATTTAAACTGCTAAACAACGGGCTAGGTCATAACCCAGCCTGCTATTAATAATGTATTTATTATGTGCAACATTATAAATTAGGTGTACGGACTAGAGAAAGGACACCTTTTAACAAGAATAATATCATCTTCCCCCAGAAGCATCACATGTGCCTGGCCACTTACCTGATGTACAGTCCCAAGGCACTGAAACGAATAAAAAATCTCATCCAAGGAAAAGAGGCCTACATTGTCAGCGGGCTCCTGCACAGAGATGACTTAGCTGTGGCAGATATATTAGACATACCCATCCTGGGCTCAGAGCCTGAAGTAACTCACCTTTATACGAGCAAGTCTGGAAGTAAACGAATCTTTGACGGTGCCAATGTGCCAGTCCCTCCAGCAATATGTCACCTCTATAATCAGCAACAGGTATGTGAGGTGGGCAGTGAAGGTCTCTTCAAATATTTCACAGCCTTGTGACCTTGTGCAACTTTAGGTCTTCTGGAGCCAGCCCTACCCGGTGAAAAATAGGTGGAATACTTGAGTGTATTTGAGGGGAGGGGATCTACCACAGGCCTTTGTGTCTTAAAACAGCAGTCCCCATCCTTTTTGGCACCAAGGACTGGTTTCAGGGAAGACAATTTTTCCATGGACTGGCTGTGGGGTTGGGGGCATGATGAGCAATGGGGAGCAGCTACAAATACAGATAAAGCTTCACTCGCTTGCCCGCATGGCTGCTCACCTCCTACTGTGCCCCTGGGTTCCTAACAGGCCATGGACGGTACTGGTCTGCAGCCCAGGGGTTGGGGACTGAAGTTTTAAAGTGTGTTCCCATTGGTCTTGCAGAAATTACTGGGATTTCCAAAATATTTACTCATTTTGTATTAAGCATCAAAGACTCAATGCATATATCATTTGGACTAATCTGCTATCAATATTTAATGCCTTAACATGGATGAGTTCATCATCATCCTATCAGCTGGGCTAAGAAATATGAGAGTCCGGTTTGGCTAAAACTAGCGGGTTTGGAAAGTTCCAGGGAGTGAGCCTCTCCACCAGGTCAGATTGCAGAGGGCTGCAGACATCCTTGGCTCTGTAAAAAGTACTTTGGCTCCTCAGAGAGGGGCCTAAAGGGAAGAGGGAAAAGAGCCCAGAAAGGGGAAGTGAAATGGCTCCAGGAATAAAACTGTTTTTGGTTATCCCTTGGACCAGATCTGTGGCTATGCATTCTTCTAGCAGATAGGGAGGGCCCAAAATATTTGGAGAAACATATTACACAATTAGAAGTGTTTTCTGAGTTAGCTCTGGCAGGTGTTCTCCCATTTAACTGCCATCTGTTTTCATAATAAAGGAAATTAAAAGACAAATGGCTGTTAATATTTCTTAACCTCTATTTTAGTACATCTCTTGACCTTTGCTCTGAGCCAATCACAAATTATCTCCTCTACCCACTTCTTGAAAAACCAAAGAACCATGTTCAATGAGGCAGTTTGTGAGGGGCAATATTTAGGGAACCACTTCTACTCTCAGTCGCCCAATCATGATGCTCTGCACCCCATAGCTACTGGGCTCAGAATCAGGCCTTCAACAAGTTATGCTTTGCAAAGATAGTTTGAACATACTCTTAACCTATTAAATTGCCCTAAATTGTTTCAGTCTTACGAGAGGGTTCTTGGGCAAAACGTGAGTTCATGAAGGAAGTTCCTCTTAACGATATCACAGTCTGAGAAAGGCACAGGCAATTTTAGTAGGAGTGGAATTCCAGAGAGGGTCTCCTTGAGCTGGTGTGTCACTTCCATTGTCATTAACTTCCACTGGAATTTGAAGATAACAAGGGAGATTGCTTGACTCTGCTTCCCAGTAGAATATTTGGCTGCTAGACTTATTACAAGTAAAATACATTTTTAAATGATACAGTTTCACATGTGCACATTACATTAAACAATCTGTGTATGTGTAATATTTATATTGAATTTTGCCTTCATCTTCACTAAGGAGAAGTCAGGCAATCTTTGCTATGAAATGTTTTAGAACTTTATATTTTGATTGTGGTTAAAGATGCAGGCACATTTAAAACACTAAAACCTTCTTCTAGTGCTGGTATTCAGAAGTAGGACTGAAAACCTCCAAAAAGAGACATCAGATTTGAGGAATATCATTGACCTATGGTATGTGCAAATTGTGTAACAATAAACCAATTTTTAACTGAGTTCTACTCCACTTGTTTGGAAAACATATGTCTGAGGTCATCAAGAATTGAAATACTCCATTGAGATTTCACCAGATAGTGACTACCCTACTTAATCTATCTGAGCGTGTCAGCATTTTGAATCTGCAGATGGTGATGAATCAATAACACTGACTTTTTACCGATGTGCATCATAAACTTGAACCTGGCGAAAGAAAGCTGTGATCATTTTAACTTAGGTTAATAAGGATTCCTGATCATCAGTTGGATTTTAGCAATAGTCATTTTTATACTTCTGCCCTTTACCAGTGTAAAATGAATCACAACTAAAAAATTTATTATGTCTTTTGAACAGATAGATTCAAACAGAAAATGATAAATGTTTGGAAATAACATAAAGTCATTTGATTTATGATTAACTAGTTTTTTTTAAATCTAGCATGAGCACAGTGAGCATTTCCTGTTTTGATCCATAAAGTAACTGTGCAAGTTCTTTTTCTGGCATATGCTCTATATGAAATATTGACAGCTTTGGTTAAATAATCAAAAATGGCAATGCTATTTTAAAGCACTGTTCAATTTTCACTTAAAGATAGCACATAATTCTTTCCAGTGGTACAGTCTTTACAATACTATTGATCCTTTTCATTACCATAGGGGATCCATCAATAGATGCCCATTTATAGGATTCTCAGAAGCAACAAATAATAGGATTTGGAAGAAACAGATAATAATTCTGTTAGTACTCAAAACCTCCAAATATACAATAAAAAAGGCTATACCAGAACACCTTTCCTTACACTAGTAAAAGAATTTTATCTGATGTCAACAGGCCAAAGACCATTCCTGCTTCTGCAAAATGTGATCATAGTATGGCAAAATATGATTAAAAATAGAAATCTGTCTTCTCAACACATTAGAGAAAGAGGGATGCCACTTTGGAAGGCACATTGAAAAACCTGCCTAGGCTGTGTTCATCACGATATGGTTTGAAGACCACAGTACTTGTCGTTTAAACACCCAAATTATCCACAGAAACTACTTGATAATTAGGGAGCTTAGATTATTTCATTTTACCCCTAAGTAAAAGCCCCATCATCGTATGGGGTTTCCGTAGACCCCAAGTATGGCCATTTTGATGTCTCTTCCACGCTGCTCTATAGCATAGCACGCCCAGGCAGATTTGCTGGGTAGACACAACTCAAGAGAGCAGATTCTTCTTTTAATCAAAATAATTTTACAATTACAGCTCCAGACTTGAACAAAACTATAAATCTTGAGTCCTTTCACAGTCTTTAGTTAAAAAAAAAAATTTTTTTTTTAAATCCATTTGGTGGGCAAAGAGAACTCGTCAAAAGAGAAGAGAAGAGGAATGTTGCAGAGACTTTCTTAAATACAGGAGACGCAGCCAACAACAGCATGGGAAGGCCCAGGAGACGGAGCGCTTGGCGTTATTTTGTTGCTTTCTGGGAAGTATAGACTGGGAAGTTTGATGAGAAGACAAGACAAAAAAAAAAAAATCATTCGGTGATCTAATGAGTTATTTTTCTCTAAGGCTCTACCAAGGCAGTATTATTTATAATTAAGTCATCTTGCTGTAGACTTTTATCTGATTCAAACTCACACCAAATGGCTTATTGACTGTAAGGAAAGTTGCTTCTCTTGCTTCTCTTCTGACTTCTTTCTCCAGCTCCCTCTATTCCACCTCTCCACAGGTTGGGACAGGCAGCACACTGGGGAGGGAGTCAGCATCAGTTTGAGAGTCAAAGCAACCTGGGTGGAATTCCTGCTCTGCCACTCAGTGCTGTGTGATCAAAGACAGGTTATTTAAATTAGCCAAGCCTCAGCTTACTTACATATAAAATGGAGCTAACAATGGTGCCTACCTCGTAAGTTTATTGTATTACATGAGAAAATTCATGTAAAGAGCTTACAAGAGCCAAAGCCATGGCTCCTCCTGAGAGTTCAGCAATGTTAGATGCTGTTATCATTCTCTTTGTCATAATTACTTTGATATTAGAGCTTGGACCACTGCTCTGTCCCTCAAATGTCGATGTGTTTGAGCCCAATTCTTGAGGGAGTGTTGTTTCAAATGAAATGTGGGATAGGTGTGTATTCTGGAAAGGTTGCTTCCGTGAATATTTTATCTCCTTTATCTGACTTTTTCTATAATACACTTGTTCATATCATATATATATAATAAGCCTGGCCAATTGACTAGCCAAACATATGTATTTCATGTCTGTTATGAGGAAAAAATTGAATGTTTTATATGTTATAACGTTTAAAAGCTCAACAAAGTTCCAAACAGTTAAAGTTTTCAAGACCATAACTTTTTATAGTCTTGAAACTATGAAAATAATCAGTGGAAGAATCAATAAGTAAATGCACAATTCTCTGAAAAAGAAAGAAAACAATATCAAGGTTCGATTACAGACATTCAGGGATTTTTTTCTTTTGTTTTTAAAAGCCAGCACAATGATAATTTTAGAATTTCTCATAAATAAGACTATATTTTTAAGCAGATGTCTTTGGTCCCATTTGTTAATGGTTTCTTCACATTATATATGCATCTCTGAAAACCTTTAGTCTGTCTGAATAACTAGAAGATAACTAAATGAACAGACCATTTAAAGACACATAAGAAGTACAACTAAGTTAAGACAATAAAAAGGAATCTCCAGAAATTAGCTATATTTAATGTCGCTGTCTCTTTGGCCCCTCAGATGATTGAACAGGTGAGTCAGCTGATAGCCGATCACCTGCAAATCCATCGCTGGCTCTTTAAAATGGACTATGAGTTCCAAGGAAATGGGACTGCATTTTGTGACATTCCTTGCTACCTAAAGTGCTACGAGTGGCTGCTAAAGGAGAGCAGCAGATACGGCCCCCAAAACTGGAGGAAGAAATGGGCACAAGTGAGTATTCAATAGTGACTTCAGCCCCCAGTGTCTGGGAACAGTTAGGAGACGAAGCAAAAGGCTCAGCTAAGAGATGACAGTACTTTCCTCTAGACTCAGCTCTGTCACCTACCAGCAGTGCCTTTTTTGGGCCTTAGTCCTTATATGCAAAATGAATGGAGTTGATTAGGTCATTTTAAGTGTTTCTTCTTTGGGCGTTGAAAGTCTTCATTTACTTCTTCAAATTGATTATGATAGTTAGGAAGCAAGCTTTTCATTATATTCAGGTAACATTACAAATATCATCACTTGCCCTAAGTGGGTCCTAACATCTGCTGTTGTTAAGCTATCTGTATTTTATTATGAGATAGAAATTCTATTAGTGAATGGTTGTCACCTGGAAGCTAATGTGTGCTAGCATTCCGTCAGCAGTCATATGTTTCGAAGACATTTCAAGGAAATTTATGTAACTGCCGGTCCCCGGGAGATGCTGAGAAAACAGTCCATCCCAGCCAGAGAATCTCCCAGCAAAAGCTGAGCTGTGGGTGAGAAGCCTTAGCATTTGAGTAGGCATGTATAGATTTTTCCGTGTGCATTGGTGGAGAGATGAATTGTACAACCTCTCAGTCTATTCCAAATTTACTCAATAAGTAATTTTATATGGTTTAACATGTAAATTAAACCTGCCGTTCTAAAAGCTGTCCCGCTTTGCATCCAGAGACCTAGACTTGCCTGGTTCCTTTAATCCCAAATCTCTGTTTTAGCTGTCCTACTGGTAGAGCATAACTGATTAGGAAAATCCAGGCGCAAATTCACTTAACTGGTCCCTTCCCTACCGGCACACATAGTGGTGGGCTGTGCGAAGTGATTTGCATCTGCTTTGAGCATCCCACGATAGAAGTATATGAATCAAGACACAAGTGGTAGGAAGGGAGGGGCACACTAGAGGAAACCACATTATTCTTGGGAAAGTGAGATGATGAATAAATCTAGAAAACAGTCAGGAGAGAGAGTTCCCTGTGACAAATGTGACTGTTCTCCCCATGATCTATTCTGGGCTTTTTTCCCCTCCTCCATCAGTAAATGCAGTACCTGTCATGGCCAGCTTTTTACATATTATTTAAAGGACACCAAAATGAATTACTCTTCTAGAAAAAAAATAAAACAAACAAAATGTATTTAATTTTGAGATCCATAGAGGTTTCCCTTATGTTGTTTTTGAACTGAATTTTATTTCGCATTGTATAGAATTTTCTTTTTAAAGCAAAACTGTTGAGATTAAACCATTAAAAACCAGGACCTTTTTGTGTAAAAAACTGAAATGCTAGTGTGCAAAGTGTTCACTGACCTCAATATTTCAAACCAGTAATTTTTAAAGAATTCCTCTGACACTAGACTATGCTAAATTTGAAATATCTTACGTTAAAAAAAATTTTAAATACTGACATTTGGCTGAATTGCACTGAGAAGTCTCACATTATTTAATTTCAGTTATTTTAAACTATACCATTTTAAATTGGCACCTAATACATTTGGCACTGTCGTTAATGTTATTAAATGTGAAACGCTTGAATAATTAATAGTCTGTCGAAGTCATTTTTTAAAACTTAACAAGGGAAACATAATTATTCAGAAATCTTTTTATAATCTGAGGCCTGTGCTTAGCCATGGTATGGCGAGAAGTCAAAAATAAAAATTAAGCGGTTCTGAAAAGGTTTTTTTTGTTTGTTGTTGTTGTTGTTGTTGTTGTTTGTAGGAGACGATTGACATTCTTTTGCCTTCAGAGTGAAATCATATTCGAAGTGGAGGTGAACTGCAATCTCCATTGAGTGTAGCTATTGCAAATTTAGGATTAGAATTTTCCTTTGTTCCAGAAGACCATAGTAATGGTGCACACTTAGACATCAAAGCATTACTTTATGAGCACAGGCATGTTTTAATGTCCTATTACAGTTTGTAGACCTGTTTCTTTTGATAATGAAGATGTTGTATCATCAAGCCTAGCCTGCCACATACAAAACATATGCTGGCAGGTTATTAAAAATTTCAGCTTCTTGATGAAAGACTATCCTGCAGGCTAAGAGTCCAGAGAAAGACTCCATTCTGGGAGAATTATTAGAAATGAGAATATGACTGTAAGCACTAAATTATGTTAATACTTACAAATAGCATCATTTGCATAGCAGTTTATGACACGATACCATGATTTTTCTCATTGGTGTGTTGGAGGCAACAGATTAAAAACAGTGCTGTTTATGGGAGTTTGAACTGTTTTGAGATTCTCTTACCTCTTATGAGGATATTGGTTTTAGATGTAGATTCCAATGTCTAATATAAAGAGCACCTCTTTTTCCATCTCTCTAACTTAGAACCAGAGTTATTTGGCTAGTTGCGGTGGAGATTTGAAACAAAGTCATGGAGTCAACAGATGCTGAAAAGCTCTAGTCATGTTTTAAAAAATCAGTAAAAAGACATGTAGGTGATTTTAGGAAAAGCAGAATGTGATGTGATGGCCACAGTGAAAATGAGTACAACTCTCTTTCATTTTTTCTTGGTGGCTTGGTCCCAAACCTATTCTCTTCATCCTACCAACTAACAAAGCCCACTTTACCATACAGGTTCCAGGAAGCTCATTCACTTAAGTACTCAATGCTTGTTAAGGTTTAATGAATCCACACACTTGCACACACTCCAAACTCTGCATTCCCCAGTTGGGGGTATTTATTTTCATTTAGTAAGAATAAAGGCTTAAACAAAGGGAGGCACACTTGAAGGGAAGAAACCTTCCTGGGCACACTCACCTAAGACAGTGTAGGGAGACCCAGCTAGACATTTACTGTAGTGCCAGTTGTTCTTGTGGCCTTTTTTTTTTTTTTAAAGACAGGGTCTCACCCCGTCGCTCAGGCTGGAGTGCCTTGGTATGATTATAGCTCACTGCAGCTTCGAACTCCTGGGCTCAAACAATCCTACTGCTTTAGGATCTGGGACTAAGGTACACACCACTATGCCTAGCTGGGACTACAGGCACATGCCACCATGCCCGGCTAATTTTTTTTACTTTTCTGGGGTCTCACGATTGCACAGGCTGGTCTCCAACTCCTAGCTTCAAGTGATCCTCCCACCTTGGCCTCCCAAAGTACTGGGATTACAGGTGTGAGTCACCTTGTCCAGCCTTTTCTTATTTTTAAAGGGTAAATCTTCCCTTCCTCAATTCCTGGGTTAGTGACAGTGATGCTGCTTGTGACACTACTGGTGATTCTCAGTTAGTTCAGGGTTTCTCTGTGCAGCCCTTCTTTGGTCCTCTGTTACCCTGGAGAGTCTGGGATCACTATGTTATCACTTAATGAGAAAAAGGAAATTGAACTGGCTCTTGAATGTTACTATTAAATACTGCTATCTTTGCAAGAGCAGTTTTCCCTTGTACTTTGTACTTTGCACCTCTCCTAGTAGAGCTAAGTCAGCAAACAAAATATACTGTTACAAAAGAGAACCATCAACTAATTCATGCCTTAGAACCCTCTACATCCACATGCATTGGGAAGACTTCCATCCATCCTGAATGCCTTATAACTGGTCATAGAAGCCACTGTAGGAGGCCTGAGCTTGGGGTCTTGTATGGAATTCATTATTGAGCCCAAAGAGCCATCGCCTTATAACCACATAATTTTTAGAAAAGTTAAAAGATAATATAAGAGTATTAAAGAAATATTTAACCAAATAAGTGCAGAATCACTTTCCCCAAACATAATTGTTTTCATTTTAGTGTATTTCCAAGTATGCGGTATTTCTCATATCTACTATAATAGTGTATATGTTAGTTAAACATCAGATCTTAAACATTCTCCATGTTTACACACAGTCTTCACATTTAATGGCCGTATAATATTCCCTCATACTGATTAACTCCCAACTATTACACTGCTCAAATAAGTTAGAAATTTAGGTTGTTTCCAGCTTTCTTTTCTTGGTGAGAGCAAAGGAAGGAGAGAGGAAATATGTTTGTTTTTATTCTGGGTTTTGGTATATACCTCTTTTTGCTTCTGTTGTATTATTTCCCTAGGAGAAAGACCCAAGAGTAGATTATTTTATGGCTCTTGTTACAGATTGTCGTATTTCTAAGAAGGTAGTACCAATTTCCAAACAACTAGCAAAGAATAACTGTACTAGTTTTATTACAATCTTACCAACACTGGATATTATAACTGTTTGCACTTTTATTTTAGATATAAAAATATATCTAATGGTTGCTATTATTTAATTGCTAGTAAAGGATATTCTTTTTTATGTCCTTATTTATTATTTGTATTTTATATCAAAAACATAACATCTTTGTATTAAAAAGAATCTAGTAGGTTTTCTAGGTTAAGAAAAAATCTACAGTTATCATTTTTCCTAATCATTAAACTACATATAAATGATTATTCATTCTTTTTGTTTATTTTTGAGATGGAGTCTCACTCTGTTGCCCAGGCTAGAGTGCCATGGCATCAGCCTAGCTCACAGCAACCTCAAACTCCTGGGCTCAAGTGATCCTCCTGCCTCAGCCTCCTGAGTAGCTGGGACTATAGGCATGCATCACCATGCCTGGCTAATTTTTTTCTACATATTTTTAGTTGTCCAGCTAATTTCTTTCTATTTTTAGAAGAGATGGGGTCTCATCTTGCTCAGGCTGGTCTCAAATTCCTAAACTCAGACAATCCACCCACCTCTACCTCCCAGAGTGTCAGGATTACAGGTGTGAGCCACTGCACTGGGCCCTATTCATTCTTTTTTCATAGTTATTTTTCTATCTTAAAATCTTAACTTCTTAGATTATCTTTACATGTTTAGTAGTTGCCAGAACACTGGACTACACAGGAGACAAAGCATTTGTAGATCCATGAATATACAAAGTCTTGACATCTCTTTGTATTTCTTAATGTAATAATAATCAATTAATATCATTGTAGAATACCTGTCGAGTGCCAGGCTTTGTGCTAAGCACATCGCGTGAATTGTCTCATTCAGTCTCAGGAAAA